AGAAGGAAGAGAAAGGTGAGGAGAGGAAGAGGAGAGGAGAGAGAAAAGAGGAGGAAGAGAAAAAGAGAGGAATAGGAGACAAAGAAGGAAAGGGAGAGGAAGAGGCAGGAAGAGGAAAGGAGGAGGGGGAGAAGAAGAGGATGTGGAAAAGAGGAATAGGAGAGGAAGAGGTGAAAAGAAGAAGAGGAGAGAAGAGGAAGAGGGGAAAATGAGAGGAAGAAGAGAGAAAGAGGAGGCAAAAAATCAGAGGGAGGGGAAGAGGTGAAAAAAGGGAGATGAGGAGGCAAGGAGAGGGAGAAGAAGAGGATTAGGTGACAAAGAAGGGTAAGGTGAGGAAAAAGTGAAAAGATGATGAGGAGAGGAAATGAGAAGACGAGAGAACAAGAGAAGAAAAGGTGGGAAAGGCAGAGGAGAGTGAAAAGAAGAGGAAGAGAAAAAGAGAGGAATAAGAGACAGACAAAGACGGGGAGGAAGAGGTAAAAAGAGGAAGAGGAGATGGAGAAAAGGGGGAAGAGAGGAAAAGGAGAGGAAATGAGAGGGAGTAGAGAGGAAGAGGCAGGAAGAGGAGAGGATGAGAAAAAGAGAGGAATAGGAGAGGAAGAGGTGACAAAGTAGGGGAGGGAGAGGAAGAGGTAAAAAGAGGAAGAGGAGAGGGAGAAGAAGAAGTAGAGAGGAAAAGAGGGAAAGAGAGGAAAAAGTGAGGACAAGAAATGAGAAGAGAGGAAGAGGAAAAGAAGAGGGAATGAAGAGAAGAGGAAAGAAAAAAGTGGAGGGTACGGGAGAGGAGGAGGAGAGGTAAGGGAAGCAAAGTAAGAAAAGGAGAGGAGAAAGGAAGGGAAGAAGGTAGGAGAGTGAAGTAGGGCAAAGGGAAGAAATGAAGAAGAAGCGGAGAGGAGTGGTAAGGGGAAGGAATGAGGAGAGAAGAGGATGAGGGAAAGGAGAGCAAGAGGAGAGAAAAAGTGGAGTGTGCAGGGAAGAAAGAAGAGAGGTAAAAGAAGGAAAGTAATAAAATAAAAAGGGAGAGATGAAGGAAAGAAGATGGGAAAGGGGAGGAAGGTAAGGGAGATGGAAGGTAAGGGAGATGGAAGGTAAGGGTGTGGAATGATGTGTCCGGGGTATTAAGAGAAACCAGGGGTAGTCAGAAAGAGGTGAAGGATTAGGAGGGGGTTGGTGAAGGATTAGGAGGGGGTTGGGAGAGACACGTGACAAGAGAAGAGACATCGCAGTCATTAAGGAGTTCAATATGGAAGACAATTTTCAGATAAAACATAACACGTCATAAGAACAAAGCTTTCGTCGCTGGGACATCGCTACCTTGTAGAAGCTGAAATCCATTTTCATTTACAACCCCCCCCC